GCTCAAAGTAATGAGCTGGCTGATCTTTGGAGATGAGTCCTTAGGCTCATCCTTGGTAACCTGTAGGGCCGGAGGCGGTGCTTTAACGGGTACTCCGGGCGGAGGAGTGACCATAGGAGTGGGAGTAGCTTCCGCTGGCGGCGCATCGGCCGTCGGCTGCCCGCTAGCTTCGGGCTGCGAATCCATGGCTGCTTGCGAGTCGTCCATTGTCCGAGTGTTTCGCCAAAGTGAAAGTTCTTGGAAAATTGCACCAAATAACACAGGCACAAGTAGATGCACAAGCAAAACCTCCACCGAAGAGGGGGCTGCTAAGCTTCACCTTGAGCCTCCACTGACCGACTACTACAGGCATCAACAAAGCCCAAGGCTACTTTCTTGCAGTCACTCTGGCTCGACATGGTCGTTTAAAGTTTAAAGTTTCTGAACGAAATCGTCCTGGTTCAGCCGCGGCCTAAAGCAGACTGGGAATTTGAGCGCCCGGTGAAAAGTGCCTGTCCATGCTAGATGGCAGGAAGTGCCGTTGACAAAGTCAAACTGAATGAGGGATTTGGAAGAGCCACACCCCAGCAAGCATGATTCCAATTCTCTCTGCAGGGTCGGTCAGGATGTTTCTATACAGCACCATTATGACGAGCACCTAAGGGCGGGGCGACCTGGCAGAGCAGAAGAGACTCGCAAGCAAGAAAAAAGAGGGGAGAACTTGTCCACATTTGTCCACCCAAACATCTTCTACGTCCAGTCGGCAAGCAAAGATACCTCACAGCCAGAGACCAACTGCTGGCTTTGTAAATCCAGCGCTTTAAAAACCAAAGCACCGTCGCCCACCTCTCGAGTCTCCTGCTCGACTTTCCGAAGAGCATCCTCAGGCAAAGCGTCTGAAAAAGAAAGTCCCCGGAGCGACCCAAACATCCAGGCCCTACGCACGCCTTTCATGTACCATGCAAACATACGTGTCAGAGACCCCAGGATGGCTTCCTCAACAGTCTCAAGTTCACTGATGCGTCGTGCTGCCAGAAACTACAGTATCTGGGATCGCACACGAGATTCCGTCTTGGACGGCTTTCCACAAATGCTTTGGCGTTTCCAGTACGTGCCTGTCATCGGGATGAAGGCTGTGAACATCTGCTCTTTGAGCTTGTGCGATTCGGATCCACAAGGACTACACAGCATGCCGGTGCACCGGGTCAAGACGTAGCTCACGGTCTTGGCCTGTGCACATGACTGTTCATGCAGATACGGTCCCGTGTCGGCCAAACGGCAGTTCATTGGCAACTAAACTGGCCTATCGCAGCAAGACTGCAGATACCGTAAATCCTTATTCATTCCCTGTCACCTGCCGGTCCTCCTGCCCAATGTTTGCAGTCTCACGACAACGAAGCTTGCATTCATAGTATTGCCTGACATTCCCGGACTTCCATTTGTGTTGGAAATTTGAAGACTTGTTCACTTGCTCGGAAGCCAAGACTCTGCGACCAAAGAGGTCCGTGCAAAAACATATGCATAGCACGAAGGGCGAGCTGCTCAGCTGTGCGAACAGGGGCGTAGGTTGTGTAAAACAAGCAACTACGATAACTGAAGCTTGGTGACGGGATGTGAAGAGTTTTCGCCACATGTCGGGGAGTGCAAAATATCTGCCACCTGTCTCTGCGAATGCTGCACAGCAGCCTTCGATCGAATTCTTTGGGCGCTTGTGGCATTTTATGTCTGGGATCGCAGACACTTCGGCAGGTGCCAGCATGCCGGGTGTCCCCGTCTCCGCGACAGATCTTGTGTTGTGCAACCAAGCACGGCATTAACTTAAATACAGGCGACCGATAAAGCCCAGCTTCGCCGTTTGATGCCTGCCTCAACCGAAGGAGAGAAGGCACAAATCGCCGTCGTCCAGCAGTCTTGAACAGAAAAGTGAACTCAAGCTCGATCCGAGAAGTTGAGCTTGTCAGCTTTAAACTTATACCTTACAACCTACACCGGACATCGGTGCTTGACGCAGGGGTATGGCGAGGCAGCAGTCAATGACTTTCTTTGCTTCCGCCTCTCTGGCCCCCATGGTAGATCGGCGTGCATGCGTGCGGGCGGGGCGGGCGGGCTGGCGTGTGCCTTCCGAGCATGCAGACGACCCTTCAAGTATGTGGGTGTGGTTTAGGAACAGTTGATCTCAACTAGCAGGTCGCGGAATGTCTCTACACTTTGACGGGTGACAGTGACAGGACCGAGGATGTCCAGGAAAGAGATGATGCTTGCACGGCGTGCCAACGATCTACTTGCAAGGATTCATGATGCTGAAAGGGCTGATCGAAAGCCAGTGTCGAGTGCATGTTTCACAATCTTTCGGCTGGATGCGTCGAAACTCTTCTCACCCGAAGGCAGGAGCCGGAGCAAAAAAACGGAGGAACAAAAAAGCAGCTTTGTGCGAAGCTTGAGAAGGCACTATTGATCACAGCCTTTACAGGCCTGATCACTGATACAGAATCTGCGGCGAATCGAACCAAGGACCTGTGCCCCGTGATGCATCGTCAGGGGCCAACTGATCTGGAGGGGGAAGGATGATGCTGGGGGTGACAACCCCCCCAACCGTAGAATGAACAGTGAACCGATCAGTTGTCTGCTTGCTACCTGCTTCTGCTGTAGGAATGGCTCTGCGAGTACGATTGTACATACATAACATCTGCATTTGAAGAACAAAGCATTTTGAGCGCGCACACACACACACACGCACACACATCGCAGTCCTTCATTCCTTGTTCTTTTCCTCTCGGTTTCAGGGTGCGTGGGGGGAACCGTCTAAGCTTGGGCCTTTGTAGGATGCATCTTTGGTTTATTTTTGCCAGACGTCGCATCATATCGATCCTGACCTTAACACTTTCACAGGGACATGCATGACACCACGTCAGTTGACAATCGATTATGACACATCACGATGAAACAGGAAGATGTCATGAACATCAGCACTCAGTGACGCCTGGCGGCAGCTTCACCCGGAAGTAGTCAGAGCCGGCAGGAATCTCAGCTCAAAGGTCAACTAGTTTAGGTGCTGGAGTTGAAAAACTACCTTTCCAGTAGGTTGTTCAGCCTTTTGTCCTATAGCACGAGAAAGCCGCTGTGTTTGTGCAGCTCAGCATGTCACCGCATCCTCGGGTCGGAGCGGCGGAGCCTCCCACCAGATGCAGCTTGGATGGTTGGTGGATCTGGGTGGCACCACCCCGAAACTGCATCACTTTCCAAGCATGCGGCACTGGGCTCTTCACGGGCAGCCCGAAGGACCTTGGAATCCATGGCGTATCACCTATGACCAGAGCTTCCAAGGAAGCAGCCATGCTCATCGGGCACTGGCCTCATCCCATCCATCATCGCGGCAGAGGCGCCCATAATCCTGCAGAGCCATGGCATACATGCTCGACTTCTCACCGTCTTGTCGCACATTCTGTCACACAAGTGGCCTCACGACATAAGACGACTCAACCTTCGGTGTTGTCGCATCCTGTTCGAGCTGCCGGAAGAACTCCTTCAAGCAGAAACAGCTTGGCTGATTGGGTCGAAACAAAAGTTCATTGCTGCTGTCACGCTGTCCATCCTCGTTGCTTTTCGCCGCATCATTCTTAGCATCCTGCCAGAACTATAGACAACAGTGTCAGATCCGCAGCTACTCAGGATGTCTCACCGTTGAACCAGCCGGTGCCTTCGATGTATCTGGAAGATTCCTGCTTGTTGCCACGGAGCCCTTCACGGCTTTACTTTGAAGCAACCTTTGATCATCACCAGGTGACTTCCAGAATAATGCAACGAGTTTCTGCAACGTGGCTCTCACAAACACAAACGCACATTATGCGTGGTCAACCTGATGTGCTGATTCGTGCACACATTCCCACTTTTTGTCGATTGGCCAACTGGTTTCATCTGACGTGGCATGTCTGGAACAGACGTACAAGATGCTTCCCGCGAGTGGAATTGAGCAACTGTTTCATGGACTCGCGGATCTTCGCCCCACGACCGGCAGCGACAGGATCGCCTTGCCAGCACAGGAGCTCGAGCACTTCAAACAGATCGTTATTGACACACCCGCACGCAGATAGCACGCAACTGTAGGGCAATCCTCCGTGTTTGACGCCGGCCATTTCTGCGGCCATGGCGAGGAAAAGACTGCCCCAATTAAAAGCAAACTCGAAGAAATAAGTGGTTCATGATGGTTCCATATTTGTAAATTAAACTAGGCCAATGATGAGTGTGTACACTCGCCTAGCCTAGCACGACCGTTCACAGCAGTGGTCGATTTACGCAAATCAACTGTGCGTTTCATAGCATTCCAAGTACTATCGCAAAAATGGCGAGATCATATCCGTCGGCAAACCATATGCGTAGTAAGCACAGAACAAAAGCTCATCACACTTCTTGCAAACTCATGCGACGTGCTGGCACAGACGTGCACTTAAAGTCACTCTGAAACCAACACCGTCTACTGTCGCATTCATGCTCAACCAAGCTACTTCCATTCCTGGTCGCACGTGCGCTTCTTTTAACCGCATTTCGTTCGGGCAATGAAATAAATTTTGTCGACTGATCACAAGGAAGGTGCTCTTTGACTGAGCCATTCTTGGCAATCCATTGGTTGCAGAAACCGCAATGCGTGACGAGGTCTTTTGCCCATTCATGCAGGGTGGTTAAAGCAACCGGGGGGGGTGAGAAGGGCCTTTTTGCTCCCATGCCTCCTTTGAACAGGTAAGGTATTCTTAGGACTGGCGGTCTGGAGTGCTGGATATAATTTGCAAAACAGCGTTGACACCACTGGAACTCAATGACTCGAAAAGACACACATGGTTCAAAATGCATCACATGCAGTCCACAACTCTGTCTTGGTCCATAACCGACGTGTCGTGCTCCAGGGCACCGCAACGCCGCAACTGATTTGCTTGCCGGTGAAAGGAAAAGGAAAAAAAGGATTGATGATGAAAGGCAAAGGGAAAGGATTCAACAAGGGAAAAGGAAAATTCAAAGGATTGAAAGAAAAAGGAAAAGAAAAGAACGATGGATGTTTCATCTGCGGATCCCAAGAGCATTGGGCCATGTTGAAGAGCTGTTTCAATCTTGGCTCCAACAAAATTCCAAACCTTTCAGCGTGGTTCTCTAAATCTGAAGAGTTGGCTGCGTCTCAATGATAGAGCCGACTTGAAGGATCAAAAAAGCAACGTCGCCGTGAACGCTTGGCTGGCACAAGCTAGTTGTCCGTAAAAACGAAGCAAATAACAATTTACAGCCATGCTCAAAAGCAGAAAAAAAATACGCTCTTTTTCTGGTGTCGAAAAAAGAAGTCGAACAAAAAATCAATGCAGCGAATTGTGCGGTGTGAAAAGGATATTCTCAAAGGAAAAGCAGCTCGACAGAAAATTTTGGCAAAGTTGAGATTGTGCAAATGCAAGAAACGTAGACATGCATTTTTTTTTGAGACTCTTTTTTCCAGAGTGTTCCACCGCGTTTCTTTTTCTTTTCTCGTCATGTTGCCGTTCTGAAGGAGCATCTGAAACTTCCCCAAAAGGACAAGACTGCACGAAAATCGATGAGCCTCTGTTCTGCACCAGATCTTTGCAACCAACCAGAGCAACATCCAAAAATGAGGCTCATACTGCAAGGAACCCAGCAAGCCATCACTTCATGCGGCGCCTTCTCGCGCACCTCTGGAACTTGACTTGTGAGCTGCCGTGGTGTTTTGCAAGCTTGCATGCTGTGTTACTTTCTGCAAGACATGCTTCTGCAGGGTTGGATTGTGCCGTGGGTTGATTCAAAAGATGTGATTGCTCCAACACATTCCGTCAAAGACGCATGTCCTAAAAAGCAAGCCCGATGAGAACAGAAATCTCATGGATCAAAAGGGAAAGGCTTGCTTGATTTTGATTTTCAGTTTTTTTTTGCAAGCGCAGGGCCCAAGTTAGGTCCCGTCTGC